GCTTCTTATTTTATGTGTGGGGGGCAGGGAACAGGGGGGCTTATTATTTTATGTGTGAGGGGGCAGGGAACAGGGGGAGAGGGTAATATTTTATATGTGGGGGCAGGGACTTTTATGGTAATATTGTTAAAGTTGTTAATATTTATTTTTGTAACTTTATTTTGCATAAAACATCTAACAGTGTGATTTATAAGATTATTTAAGAGGGTGTGTTTAGGGGCGGAGTTAAGGGCAGGGTAGGGGTTAGGTGGGCAACTGGTGGCGAGTAACTCTTAAAGCAGGGCTAGTAGCTCAGGACTTGAAATTTTGACCCCTGCAATAGACTATATCATAATTGTATTCTTTAAGGATCAATAAAAGTCAAAAATGAAGTTGCATAGCAGGTGATAAGTATACACTGTACACACTGTACACACTGTATACACTGTACAAGATATGACTACTACATTTTATCTACCTGGTCAAGCACCAGGTAGATAAAACAAATGCAGCATGGGTTCATTAAAAGCATTGTAGTTTTTTTTTTTTTTATTCATGTAGTGCCACAATTTAACTTGGTATCAGCCTCTTTACATTTCTTGTACAGAAGCCTCCAACTGGGAGAGGAAGAGGTAGCACAAGCAGCCAATCATGTATACTAAAATGCTCATGTGTTAACAAGGTTCACGCTGAACAGAGGAGAGAGCAGAAAGACAGAGAGAAGAGCTCATTACTGTGCTGTTTCTCCTTCACTGTCAAGGCACAGGCGGGGAGAGGAACGAGACCTAGTTGTATTACATAACTGCAATAGAGAAAAATCAGGTCTCCAGGCTGAATATGTGGTGTGGAAACTTCAGAAATGTATTATATAACTTCAGTGGTGAAAAATCAGGTCTCTCTCCATGCTTACTGTGGTGTGTAAATTTCAGGAATGAATAGACAGAAATACAAATACTTTGTCAGGTAAAGCAACCCTCATATGTATTTCATTTGTAGAGTTCATCTTCAAGATTACATCACACGGCACTATACTACTTCTTTATACTTGAAATCTGTCATCTAATACAAACTCCATAATGAATATTCTTAATATGTTATAGCTTTTTACAAAAACAGTCTAAAAATCATCTTTTTTGCACAGTTTGTTGTCCCATTGCTGTCATATATACACGTTATTGATTTCCAAACATATTTCCTTATAAAACATAATCATCGATTACAATCCCTATAATTAAAACTAAGATTTCAAGTAAAACTTTGGCAACTTTATAATTTGAGATTTTCCTGTGATCTGTATACAATATACAGGGTGTTTGTTTTTAAAGAAAATACTATTAACAGTTTTTCATATATTATGCAAAAATATATCTGGACAATATATCTCGACTTTATAAATTACTATATACGATATACTCTATATAGTAGAAACAGTGCATTCATTGTTTTAATATATCTTTTGGTTATGTTGTTTCTTGTTCTCTTTTAGCTATAACTATATCCTTTTTAAGGTGCATGCACAAAAGTAGTTGTACAGATCTACATTCTGTAGATCTACTAACAAGCAAGCAATTAAGCAAGCATCTAGGGCAGGGGTCTCAAACCTCCAGCCCTCCAGCTGTGGTGGAACTACAAATCCCATGAGGCATTGCAAGATTCTCACAGCCACAGACATGACTCCCGGAGAGAGATGCATCATGGGATTTTTAGTTTCACCACAGCTGGAGGGCCGGAGGTTTGATGCTATAATACCATGCTATAATTTACCAGAAAAATAGTGGATAGAGTAGGGAAAAATAAAGAATCTGTCAAGTTTTTATTGCTGTATGTGTCTCCTTTGGTAAGATTTGCTGTCTCTATCTGTCTTGGTGTGTAGATTTATACTGAATGGGTGCCAGATCAAATGGGTGAAAAAGTCAACTGTTGCTGATCTCATCATGTAATTACCGTCCACAAAAAAACAAACATTTTGCTTTCAGTCGTTTTTTTTTTAAGTCCGCACATTATTGTTTAACGCCTCGATGAAGGAGTGTTGTTGCTCCCAAAAACACGTTGGCTGCTTTTCCTTTGTGACTGAATAATTAAATACTCTTTGAACTTTTACACCCATTTGGTCTAGCCCTTATTCAATATATGTCTACACTCAAACTTCTTCTGGGGACCTTACTAAGGGAGACCTTTGCTGTTGGAGCCGCCTAACCAGAGCCAGTGAGCTTGCATGGAAAACCTTGGTTCATTTGGACTTTTGAATTAACATTTAGATCCCAGCACCTCTTAAATATTTGGATCTATTTGTCTTTGTGACCACTTTCACTGGGACAGAAAGTGATTGAAATTTCAAAATGTTACGGCTGTCACCAGAAAAACCAGTGAGAGGACACCTGTTCTGGTATCAACTAACTTACTTCTGAGAAATTACCACTGACTTCCTGTTACATCTCTGAGACAAAAAGTGAGTGAAATTCTGTAACACAGAACAGCATATGAAAACATTTGACAGGGGTTCTAACCATTCCCTACTCTATTCAAAACGAAACCAAATGTTTTGGCTAGAAATGCACTTTAAGTACAGGTAGGCAATCCAAGCTACATTTTTTTGTTAAGAAAATACCAAAAGCCTATCATTTCAGTAAAAAGATCCCATACTGATATAATATGCCATTTTACAATGACTTGAATTACAGACCTGAATTGTCTAACAAAGAGCAGCATCATTCTTGAACAATACAGGTAAAAAATGAACATAAGTGCAATTTATACACCTTACATTAAATCAGTTGTAAACGCAAATCCTAATGATTGACACAAATCAGTCAAAAATACTAGAGCCAAGATGTTTGAACGGTTGGCTCATTTTGTTCTATCAAGTAAAAAAATTGGTCAATGATATGTAGAGAAATAAAGTGAAAATATGATTCACTTCAAGGTCACATTATTCATTTCTTAAAGTAAAATGAATCAGTGTTCTCAAAAATGTGATGCTTCAGCATTCAAGCAAGTTTGATGAATCTAAAGAAAATTTAAATTTGCAGCATCATTTTTAATCCTTTGTAGCTTGAAGAACTCCGGGCTCTACTTCTCATCAATGTCTTTTCAGAAAAAAGCACATTTTGTGGCTGGGAGTTCATCGAGTAGTGTGTAAAAGCCAAAATGTAATCTCATTGTCAGCAAGACTTTAAATGTTAAGCATTTCACCATCCTGCATGCATTATTGTCATTATCGTCTTGATAGAATGTCAATCTCAATTGGCTACGAGCCCTTCCCTGTGAGCCAGGCAATGTCACCAGTTCTATAATAGAAAGAAACGTGATGTAATTATCATACTATATATCATTTTTATCCCTTTTTACCCAATGACACTCAGATTACCATTCCATATATATGTAAATCATTACAAAAATATGTAAATTATTCAGCCTAGTAGCTGAAGAAAGCACTTAGTTAAAAGTGCATTTGTGATGTTTGAACATACATTCATTATGTTCTGTGCCTAGGCATCCTTTAACAGCATGGTTCTGTCTGGTGGGAGCATCCAGAGCCTAATACTGAGGCTGTTACAGTACCATTGTTTACCCTATTGCACATGTAATAGCTCTCTAATCATTAGAGTCATTAGTGACATTTACACTGCTGCTGACATTGCTTGTATTTACAGACATGACCAGACCATGATCCTAAGGGCCTTTGTGAAAAATTTACATTTACAAACTGGTTAAAGGCCTTCAGTTGGTAACCTTATGTTCAATAAAATTGTGTGCTATCGATTAGGTCGCTGTAATTACTTGTCATGCCCTTCTTTTGCATCATGACCCTAACAATAATAAGCACTGTAAAACCTTCTTATAATAGAAGGTATTTACATGACATTGCTTCGCTTACAATCCTAAAAACAAGGGTGCATCTAGTACTACTGCATAGCTCTCAATTGTCCATCATTTGGAGAGATGGTTCCTCTTTTGGAACTAAATCTCTCCGTCTGTCTCTTGCCCTTTACCCCTCTATCGTTTTTGGTTTAATGTATAGACTGCTATAAAATGGGTTATTTCACTACCAAAACTAATATATGGCCCTAAATATTTTATCTAGGGTTGCCACCTTTTCTTCAAGCGAAACCCGAACACACCAGCGGCACGCGGACATTTTTTGTAGAGATAGAGTCAATGCTTATTCATATATAAATAGCGCCTCACACTCATATGTAAATATCACAGTTGAGCCTATTCTCAGTGGGGGGCCAGTAGCACCTATGTTAATTTTGGTTGCCCCTGTCTGCCCGACATCTTTTGTCTGGGTTTATGCTGCCATGAAACCCGAACACAGCATTCAAAACCCGAACTGTCTGGGTGAATCCTGGACAGGTGGCAACCCTAATTTTATCCAACCTCTAAATTATCATTATCACTCATAAATCATCTTTCAATCATCAGCTTATCTATCACATTGTACCATATAGTGAGCAGTACTACCACCAAGTATTGAACTGAGCAGTTTACCAGAAAGTATGACCTCTAAATCATTAGCGGTCAGACCGAATGTGTGTCAAATTAATCCAAAGGCTTGATCACATAAGCTCTACATAAGATGCACTCTCTCCATCCATACACCCATCAGAGAAAAATTCTATAGAGGCATCTCCTTCACATCAGCTTCTCTGTGAATAGAGGGTGACAGCCTGATGCAAATGTGAGAGCACAGAAGAAATCTTTAAACAAGTAGTCATTCTGATGCAGAGAGTTCCAGTTCAGTAGGTGATAGGATTGCACCTGATATACAGTTTTATTACCTTCCCATTACAAAAAAAAAGTAAATGAGCCTAATTGATAATCCCCTTATTTCTACATACTTTTTTTATTCACATGACAAATGGGTAATATTGGTAAATATGTCTCAAGTTGATGCATTTTATGAAAGTATTGACTTTTTTAAAGCCAATGTTTCTATGTTCTTACATTTGTACTAACATGGCCATATCTATTTACAGAGAAGCTGATGTGAAAGACATGCAGCTATATTATTTTTCACTGATGGGTATATGGATATAGAGAGTGCATCCTGTGTAGGGCCAGTCTGAAAAAGCTTTTAGAATAATTTGACAAAAGTTCAGTCTGACCTCCTATAATTTAGAGGTCATACTGTCTGGTAAACTGCTCAGTTCAATAATTGATGAAGGTACTGCTCACTATATGGTGCAATATGTAGGAAACATTAATGAAGATATAATCAGCTATAACTTTTCAGATACATGATGCATCCACAGTATCTTACACTGGTCCCAAGGTCCCTTGTCACCAGTGCACCTCAAATGATCCTATTTTTTAGTCCATTTTTCACTCCAGAAGACTGTTTCCAAACAAACTACAGCATAAAAAGTATTAAGGATGCTTTAATAATAATAGTAATGGCTTAACAGAAAAATAGGAGAACGTATGGTATAAAAGGATGCATTACTGAACATACTTGCCATAACGAATAAACATCCTTTAGTTGAAAGCAGCAATAAAAGAAGAATTTTGATAAGTCATTTTTTTTTACACATGCAAAAAGAATAATGTGCTGCTGACTAAATTTTCCCTGGTGCCCAAATACATTCAGGGGGATTTGCCCTCTCAGTGTGCACATAGAACCCTCTCTTCTAGCAATTCACTTTACCTCTACCCATTGCAGTGACAGTAAATGAGGTTAAAAGAGAACTATGAGGTGAGTGCTTTCCACTCACCTCATAGTTCTAGCCGACCTGTGACAATGAGATGGTCACAGGTCGGCTCAGTAGATCGGGATGTGAGCGAACACATACCGGCGTTCGCTCACCTCTCGATCCTGTCACGGCTCTCTGCCGTGACAGGGGAGGGGCTGGATTCCCCTCTCCCCGCTCCGATCTGCCAGCGCTGACTGGCGGAACGGACGGGGGAGGGGGCGGGTACAGCTGGCTCTGCCTCTAGATAGGCAGAGCCAGCTGTCACTCACGCAGCTGGGCGGATCTCGACATCGATGTCGGGATCCGCTCCGGCGTCTCAGTATACCGCGAGCTGTAGCTCGCGGTATACTGAGCCTAGGGTGACGGGAGGACGCTAGTTTGTGTCCTCCCGTTACCCTAAGGAGAACTATGGGGAAAAGCCCTGACCCCATAGTTCTCCTTTAAATGTGCTCCCTAGTCCTCCTGCTATTTCAAATGCTAAGTCACTGGAGTGACATTCATTCATGTGTGGTAAGTAGGTACATGTATCATTGCTCCAAAAATAAACACTACAATAAATGCTTTATGAATTAGATATAAGCAAGGGGGAATATGGGAAAATCACTAAAACTGATCTCAGTTCCACTGCTGTTTACCTGGATCATCTATAGAAGCTTCTTATAACCTCTTGACCCCAGTCTTGGGTTGTTTCTCTAGCTATTGGAAAATATTGTATTCCAAGTTTATATCTGGGATATAGATACAGAGATAACAATACTCCCTTTAATAATTGGTGGTTTAGGCATGTTGCTGACTTGTTTCCTGTGCTTTTTTTCTTAATCATAAAAGCACAAATGTTCTTAAAGACCAATTCCAGGTTACCTGAAAAATTAAAAAAGGCACTGCCCTACGGAAGATAAAATACTCACCCTGTCCCCTGCAGACTCATTACTCCCATCATCTAGCACTGATTCTCTTCCAGACTGAATGTCATTCAACCCAGACCAGGTGTCATTCAACCCACTCCCTGTTAACCATCAAGGGCATCAAGCACCCATCACCTGAAGGTATATCATCAAGCTAACCTGGGCTCACAGGAAAATGCTACAGTGCCACATCATCAGGACTGGCCCACCTCCAGGTGAACAATAGGGGAAAGAGGACCTGTCATGTCATAAAACCAGACTGAAAAATAATAAAAAAGTATGTATGCAAATATATATTTTTTTTAAGGCAGTGGGTGGTGCAGGAACTGGGGTGGGGGTAGGGGGTGGCACCTGTATTTGGGCTTTACAGAAGAAGTTCAGTCAATATTATTTAAATCTAAAATGGCCGTATCATCTAATTTCATGAGAAAAATGCTCAACTCCTCCAATGCGTTTAAACCCTACTTACTCAACATCACGTTTGCGTATAGATTTTCCAGATGCCATGACTTCTGCTACTTTGGAAACAATTGGATCATAATTCATACTGGCTACTGCAATTACTTCATCATGCCTAAAAGTGTAAGAAACAAGCACAAAAAAAGTATCTTTAGTGGATGCATCATAACAAGTGATGGTTCAGATGATTGTAGTGTCATTACTGTGAACCATTGTGAATCCTAGGAATTGAAGGAAATTAGTAAAGAGATGTGCAGATGACTGAAGATATAGATCACTCTTTGAGATGCTGAGTGAGCTGGAACACAATGTGTGAGGTCAGGTGGCTAACAAGGAAACAATTATCAGACTTCAGATGACAACTGACATTCAAGCTGTAATGTGAGCCCAAGGCAAAGTGAGGCTAATTAAGAAGGTATAACTACAAAACATTTATAAGTAAGTAATTTTAATAACCTAATATTCAGATTGGTGCATAAACCCAGTCATGAATGGCTACCTATAATAAAATGTGAATTGTTACATACTCTAACTAGTCAAATGTTAACTTACAGGGTCATTCACAAAAGGGTGAAGATTTTGGAGAAGGCCAGAGAAGTGAACACTCTAGGACAACATAGCTGACCTGGAAAAATTATCCAATTCAGCTCACCTTCCAGTTCAGCTATGTTGTCCTAGATTGTTCACTTCTCCAAACTCTTCACCCTTTTGTGAATAACCCTGTTAGTGTTTCAGCAGTGGCACTAAACACTGTAGTATGACATAAAAGTCATTAACAGCTTCTGAGTGTTGGGCATTGATGGGGGGTGGGGGGGGGTTCTGATGACCTGTGAAACTGGCTCCACGAAGCACTTGTGTGCTGCCTATGCAGCAGCTGTATGTAGCATTTATTCGCTGTGAATTTGAAACAGGTAATTTAATTGGCCACTATAGGCAACAGCTTTTCACTCTCTTTTAATCCATGTATTTATATAAATAGCCCTCAATGAGTTGAGCATGTTTACTTTGCAAGCTAATTTTCACTCAGCTCAGGGAATGTGGTGAACATTTACCTTGAAAAGAAAATTACATGCAAGGAAAAGAAAACGTAAGTCGGGACAACTTCCCCAAATTCACTAAGCTAAGTGAAAATTATCTTGCCTAGAGAAAATTCACTTTCCAAGGTGAATATGGCTAATTCCTTGAGTAAATCAGACTCAATTATGTCAGTTTTAGGACTGTGATGGACCCTGTTGGATGCTTTTAACAAAATCAATTGCTTCCAATTATTCTTACTTCACTACTACTACTAGTAACTGGTAGGCTTTTGTTTCTCTTTCGCAGACTTTATAATCTTGAGAAACCAAAAGAGGGTTGTTGAGACTCAGGTAAGCCATTCCTGTTGAAGAACCCTCTTAAAACACGTCCATTACCAACAAAAAAGTGGACAAATGTCCGGCGACCAGATTTTAACTTGACATAAACCAAATATCTGTTGTTTCCATAAAATTACTGTGTACTTGAGTTTGTTCAAAGGCCAGTTTTTACTAAATTAAAGTGACACTAAATTCAGGAATTAAACCTTTAAAAATGCATTCAAGTACCTTTCCTATTGATAAAATTTAGCTTATCTGTGTATCTCTCGGTTGTAGATCCTCAAATCATCTCTGAATTGGTGTTGGCACTGTCCTTCCTTCTGGAGGGTGGCTACTTTGTTCCCCATGGTCCCTGTGTGTGTTGTAAAGTAGTCACTGTGACGATAATGGGGGTCTGAGTCTGAATATTAAAATTGTCCCCCAGTCAGAGCAAATGCAGGCCTTTATTTAGTCATTTGTCAGGCCTTCCACATTCCACAGAACAGAGATCTGTTATCTGTCTGTGATCTTTTATTGCCCCAGCCCTAGTGAAAGTCCAGAATATCTCTTTAAGCCTTTTATGGCTGTCCCTAATTAAAGGCATGGCATCACGCCCTCATCTATTACGAGTGGACAAGTTAATATAGTAAATATAAACAAGCAGGTCTGTTAGTGGTGACCCCACATTCACCCAAAAGTCATATACCTGAGTTACAAAATCAGCTCCATTTCATAATTTGGAATTGGGCGGGTATAGTGTAAAATAAAGGTTCATCCTCCGCCTGCTTTCCAGCCCCAGCCCTACCCTAGGGGCCAGCTCCTAAAGGTCTGACAAAAAGATGCTGAACTAGCTAGATAGGTCTTGTTTTAAGGAACTAAGAAGTCTTAACATCGCAGAAGAGTTCCCCTTTAATCTCTGGACATTATCTTCTGAAAGTTTACGTGTAGAAGAACCCTGCAGACTTCTACTTTGCTTATTGAACTGTGAACTCTGTCAGAACTTCTAAACCCAGGACGGTTAAGTATTCACCTTTTATTCCCTTTTATTTTTCTGTTTTGTATATATTTTGTCTCTTTTTATTAATATCTTTTTCTGTATATTTTCTGCACCATTTCTTTTATTAATGGATGATATTAAAAATTGTTAAGCTTATCTCTACGCTCTAAATACGAACTTAAAGTATCCTTGCCTCTCTGAAGAGCGCTACTGTATAGTGAATCCTATCATATTCCTGTCTGACAGGGCATTGGTATCACAGGCATTGTTTAAGAGTTTAAATTGTCGCAGCATTTGCTGGGCACGATCTGTGTTTCCGTTACAAAAAACACATGGTGGCAGTGGAAGTTTGGGTTAACTGCGGAGTTAACCAACCCTGGTGACGATATCTCTCAGTCTGCTGGCCTGAGATTGGGTCCCGCGAGCTGGGGAATCTCTGTGCAGGGTGAGGCTGAGAGTGCGATCTCCACGGCCTTGTGACGCTCACACTCGGTTCAGACTTGTGTATAGTCACGTGGGATTGACGCACAGCGGGTTTGGGCCGGGCGTACGTCACAGTCACCACTCCAAGCTCATTCCCATAATGGACTACAATCTCATGTTTAGTTTACTAATTTGTATTGAGATTGTAGTCCATCACGGGAGTGAGCTTGGAGTGGTGGCTACTTTACAACACACACAGTGACCATGGGGACCAAAAGTAGCCCCCCTCCAGAAGGAAGGACAGTGTCAGCACCAATTCAGAGATGATTTGAGGATCTGCATCCGAGTGATACACAAATAAGATACATTTTTGTTAATAGTTAGGGTATAGGTTGAATTCAATGTGTTTTTGTATTTTTTCAACCTGACTAACTATGTACCATATTTTTCGCTCCATAAGACACACTTTTTTTCCCCCAAAAGGAGGGGGAAATGTGCCTGCGCCTTATGGAGCGAATACCTATCGCCCGACGCCCGGGACATGCAGTTTCGGGCGCCGGGCGAGTAGTTTTTTGTACATTCAGCCCTGCTCCTGACGAGCAGAGCTGAATGTACAGTAGGAGCCGCTGCTCGTTTAATACAAGTGATCTAAACAGATCACTTGTATAAAATCAAGCGGCGGCGATCGTGTCCGCCCCCCGCCGTGGTTTTCGGGGACTCCCGCTCCCCTGGGCAACCGTGACAACGGTCCCCCATAAGAGCTCACCATAGAGCCCCTTGAGCAGATGAAGAAAAACGTTCTCCGTCTGCTCTGTGTGATTACTGAGACCGCGCCACCTGTCTCAGCGGTCACTAACTGCAGCTTCTGTTGCAGAATTTCTGTTGCAGAAGCCCTGCGTCCTATCGTCCGGAGCGCCTTATAGAGCGCGAAATACGGTAAATTGAATGCATTTGTAAGATTTAACTCCTGAGTTTATTGCCATTTTAACTGTTTTCTGGTCCAAAATTCAGACATACAACTAGGAATAGGTTTTATTTTGTTTTAGTTTACGGCTTTTCAATTTAGTTAATTAAGTTAATGTAGAAATAATTAATACTTGCAAACTTTTATATTTTAAATAACTAACCAAAAAAATGATTCATGATTCTTATATAAAATTATTGCACATTTTAGTTGAGAGAAATCCCTATCCTTACCTTTGGGAGTAGTGTCTTATTCTATTTACCAAGCAGCAAACCCCTCCACTTAATGTTAGTTTTTTATTATTTCAGATTTTATGTCGATAGAGGAAAACATACATAAACAGGAAAGAATTTCACTCCATTAGATAATTCCTCCGGTAAATCTTATATAATTGTACAAATACTGTTTTATATGTAAAAGGCAAAAATTATCCCAGTTTAATTACTTTACTTTATAGACTACAGTGTATTTATCAGGTCACAAGATAATGATTCATCATTTTTCTTGTGACCAATATTGTGTTTGATTAATAGCAAACCAGTCTACATAAGGCCCAATATTTAGATTATATATTTGCATATATACAGATTGGTTGCTATGGGTAACAGCTCCACTTTTCATGTGTCCCTACTAGCTGTAGAACACCCCAATATGTGGTTAAATATTAGCCCTGTCTGTGAATAGCAAAGGAAGGAGTAGTTCTTTCAAGTAGTACATGTATGTCTCTCATATGAAAGATCCTGCACACTCTTAATGAGAGCAATCTTTCAGAAGTGAACCATCTGTATATAAACTACCAATGCAATATATATGTAAAGAAGTAGCAGTTGTATTCCTATTGTAGTCTATAAAATATAGCAATCAAATATATAGCATGCATAAATGAGAGTGACAATTTTCTGCAGTAGAAAATGTTATAATGTCACCTTCATGTCATAGGATCCCTGAAAGGATAAGTGTACAGATACCATGTAGAATAAAGAAAGATCCCGAATTGAAGAGTCATTATTGAAATACTGGACAATAGAGCTACTGCCTGATGGAAAACCTTGTAAATTAATAATCCTAGCCAGTTATGTTTTTATGAAATGCACAAAATTCCACAATTAAATTGGAATTAACCTGGAACCTATTTAAGGTTTTTATCTACAAAAAGGGATTACTAAGCCAGTGAAACTGAAAGGTGACAACAGGTTGTCATGATTCTTAAAGTGTATGTCTGAGCAAAATAAAAAGAAACAAATTAGGTACATCGCATACACATTTACATTTAGATATACTAAAAAATGTGCTTGATTTGTGTCATTGCACATATATTATTGCTTTGTGCCAGTAATTAGCTGCATACTTTAGTTTAGATAATACTTATGTTCATAAGCAAAATACAGGTTCTGAGC